GGTTTAGTAAATTTGTTTCGGATAGACCATACTACTACCTAGCAAACCCCAGTTTTGGGTAGATGTCAGTTACTCCCTTCCCTCTGTTGCTCGATCCACTCCTCTTTCTATGGGTTCCTAAAACGATTTGAATAATGGGACAAGGGGTTCTGAGGGCAGCCTCCACTCTCTCTCTCGCCCCCACCCCCCCAACCCCCCACCCTCTCTATCTTGAAAGTCCTAGGCGATTGCTGGCCTGCTGGCTAGCTCCCCTTCTCCTTGCATTGTATTGTTGCCTTCTCACTGCTAGCCCACTCCTTGGCTTCCGTCTTGCTTGTCTGCATGCTACCTTGTTGACTGGCTGCCCCTCCAGTTCACCTCGATCTGTGCCTCACTGCCTTTTCTAGCCTTGCTACCTTGTTGTGTTGCTGCCTTGCTAAGTTTAAAGCCTTTTCTAACCTGAGTGACATGACTGTTTTACATTGATGATCAGGAAATGAATGGCTATAGAAATGTATGTTTTCCATGTACCTTCTTCCTCCACCTCCTCCTTTTGCTGCCGTTCAACTGATAGGGTGCAGTTCCATTGACTGGCTTGCTTCCAACAGGTATTTGAAGGGAAAAAAGAGGAAGACCAGGTATTGCTCCTGTGATCATGAATCTGAGAACAAATGTGTGTGTGTGCGCGTGTGCGTGTGTGTTTTGTCTGTGCGTACTGAACAGGGGTCGAATTTGATGAGCATGTTTTGCATCTGGGAAGGCATACCAACATGCGGGTGGCAGCAACACTTCAATTTCCGAGGAGGTTTCCACTCGAGCAAGGAGATGAGCCTTTCCATCTGTGTGTTAGGCGCCTTGGACTACGAACAAGGATAGCATGAAGCCTCAGTGGTCTGGAGGTCCTGCAGAGGCATATTCATCCATGCAAGAAGTGCCAAGGTAAGGTGGCCACATTCCTTTCTCACCATGAAAGGGAACAGGACTTGGAACTCTTCACATCTGTGTGTGTGTGTGTGTGTGTGTGTGTGTGTGTGTGTGTGAAAGCACATGAAGGACATCCTCGGCACAGAGACTGTGCACCAAATCAACACAACACTTCAGGAGGAAACGCACCTAAGTGAGTCAAGTCAACAGACAATCCTTAAAGTAGCATTGCAGGTCCAGTAGAAGTAAAAAAGGCAAAAAGAAATACTATGAATGCAAGACCGAAAGGTAGACAAATGACACAAGGCTGTGAGGCACAAAGTACAGTGAAGCAAAGGACATAGGCTGGAGGGCACGGGGGAGGTGGGTGGGCAGACAAATGACACAAGGCCAGCCAACGAAAATGCAAGCCAAAGAACAGCGGGCAAACAAAAAGAGAAAAGACCAAAAAACACAAAGTGAAAAAAAAAAAAAACTGATGATAGATTGTTTCGTCAGAGTTGCACCGACTCGTCAGGAGGCTGAACCCTCGACAATCTGCGGAATCTCCATATTTGATGGTTTGGGTGATGAACAGTTTGACCCATGTTGAAGGCAGACTGCCCCCAAGCGGAACGTAGCAGCGGGCAGCAACCCTGTGGAGCACCAGGCATCGCAGTAGAGGCAACATGGCTGCACAACGCAAAAAACGACTGCAAGGAAGGACACGGCACACAGGGCACACAGCGCGGCAACCATGCAGCGAAGCACAAGGCAACGCCACCAAGGCAATCACAGTGCAAGGGACGGCACAGGGCAAGTGACGGCAGGGCAAGTGGGCGAGCAGCACAGCAACCACGCGGTGAAGCATAAGGCAGCACCAACAAGGCAACCGAACTACAAGGTGCGCACTGCGCAAGCAAAGGACACGGAAGACACGGCCAGCAGAAAAGTGGCAAGGCAGCAGAGCAGCGAAGCGCAAGGGAACACCAACAACAGGGCCACAACACACAGCGAAGACAGCAGCTTGCCAAGAACGACCTGCAAAGCAAGTGGGAAGGGCAGCAAGGCAGTGGCGGAGCGCAGACGAGGCAGTCCGCACATCCAACATGGAGCAGAGCGGCACATCACCTACTCACATCACGGGTGAACTCCGCAGACCGTTGGTTCCCACCACCGACTGAGCCAGGGAGTCACTCTGACGAGCATCCGTCATCACCCACAGGCAACACAGTCATCCCGAACCCAGTGCCCCCCTTAAGAGTGCTGTAGGCACTCGAGACGAGGAATGACCGACTGTTTGGCACTACGGGAGGGTGCTCAGTTGGGCATACAAAAAGTACTCAGAAAAAATCAGAGGAAAGACAAACATACATGGGGTGTGTGTGTGTGTGTGTGTGTGTGTGGTCATCTTTGGTATACACAGCTCCATAAGAAATGTACGACTGTGCCGGACTTTCTTCGGACTTTCACCGAGTCATCAGGAGGTCGAATGTGTGTGTATGTGTGTTTGAGATTAGTGTGCGATAAAGCACTCGATAGTATGGAAATCATACTATATGAGCTCCAACATACACATCGGCAAGACTCGTACAATTTTTTGGAAAAACTTGTCACAGTGTAGGAGACGGGCAGGAGTAGCATGACTGGCACCATGACTGTTGAATCAACACAAAAGGCAACCAATTCATGAGGTGGAAAAACAGTCAAGGAAACATCATCCATGCTTGTTGAAACGGCCAAGTACCCTCACCATCCATGGTTCCTGCAGGAGAGAAGGAAGAAAGAAAGAAAGAAAGAAAGAAAGAAAAGAGGAAGGGAGAGATGAAAGAGAGGGAGGAAGAAAGAGGTCCTGGATCAGGCCATAAACCTCAAGATCCATATCCAGCACTCAAGGTGCAATGCGATAACTGGCCGATCTGCAGGGAGTGCCGATCCCTGAAGCGTTTTTCTGCGCCCCGCCACAAGAAGCGTCTTCGATGGTCTCTGGAAGAAGAGGAGAGAGAGAGAGGAAAGAGAGAGAGGAAAGAGAAATATTGTAGATGAGCAGTGAGCAGTGAGCAGTGAGCAGTGAGGCGAGAGTGGAGGAGGGGAGAGGAGAGAAGGGGGAGCAAGTAAATGAAGAACAGGAAGGCCAGGAAGGCCAAGAAAGCTACAAAGGCCAGACATCTGCATGCTGACAACTCCATTCAGCTCCATCCGTTCCTATCTTCCATCGCTGCGACGATTCACTTATGTGCAGAAACATGCTCCCCTTCCACTGCTATCCGCAATAGGAAGCCGATCCCTATGCCAGCAGGGCAACATCAGAAAGCAAGTGCGACAACTAGTGCGGTGAAGATGATTGCAGATGAGACAAACATATAGGAAACATTCGCAGGCTGAAGCTACACCAACTTCGACCTGCTCAGCCATGTTGTTCCAGAAGAGATGACCAGATTGGGTAGCAAGCCAAGGGTAAAGAGGAAGGCGAGGAAGAGAGGGGATTAGGAGGAAGACTCGAAGATTGATGGCAGCAGGAACGCGGGCAGCGGAGGCGAGCAGGTGGACATGGCGCAGCAGGATGACACTTTGCGGCAATTTTTGTGCAGCGGAGAGGTTGAAGAAAAGTGCCGAGTCAGAGACAGGGAAGGGTCGACAACAGAGCTTCAGCACGTTGTGTTGTTGTTGCAGTCCCCCAGCTCCTGCAGCTGGTCCAAGTCGATGAAGAAATCCATCCAGCTAGACGTGCAGTCTCCACTGGTTCCAAAGTATCGAAGGCGGCAAAAGGCCACTGGAACCGCACGAAGAGCGAGTTCACACTACGCGGTACTGGTTCTGTTGTCATAGGCACAACTCATGTTGATCCCGGTGGTGTCAGTCCATCGTCAAGATCGCAAAAACTCTGCCACGTCGGTGCTTGTGCCTCGACCAGAAAAACCGAAGAGGAAAATGAAAAAGACAAGAAGAAAAGAAGAAAGAAGAAAAGAAAAAGAATGAGAAGAAAAAAGGATGGAGCGCAGCGGCGCTTCTGTGGAATTCAGGCGTCTGAAGTACACTGCTGTCCTTTACGACCCGTAGAGGCAATGTCTGGTTTCCAGGGGTGCCCAGTGAGCCGTTGCATCCTTCTTGGATGCTTGTGCCGTTCATAGCGTGAGGGGTCTCTTCTTCTCCCTGATGCTTCTTGTGGGGTATTTTATTATTGTCATGTCATGGTGGCTCGCGTGTGATCGAAAGAAACAGCTGTGAAGGGGAAGGGGAGGAGGCCCTCCAAATCTCAATGACGGGAAGGATCTCATGGAATCCCGGGTCCTTCCGTAAAATAGATTGCCAAATAGAAAGAAAAAAGAAGTTAAACAAAAAGACAACAAACGTACAGGGAATTATTTATAGAAAATCTTTATTTTTGCGCCGCACAAGTTGGCAAGCTGCGATTTTGTTTTTTGTTTTTTACTTTCTTGAGTCTTTTCCACTTCGCATTGCACTCCATGGCTCGAAACCCTGGGCCTGTTCCATGCACCCTACCCCTCTGAGGGCACATTACAATTGAATCGCTCATGCCCCCTTAGTATTGGTTTCTAGATTCGAAAAACGGACGGAGTGCAAGACTCGCAGCAGGAGTGGATAATTCTGGGATTCAAACTTCACAGAGTGCTCAGGAGGATGACAAATGCCACGGCAAGGAGGTCGATCTTGCATTCATCACTCACACCTGTGAGTCGATATTGCATTCGGCACTCGGACTTGTTGGACAGCATGACTCAGCTGGCGTTGTTCTGCTGCTGGGTTTTTCCTCTGTGAGACTGTGAGGGCCAAGCGCCACTGGGAAATGTTTAGGTCTTTGCTGGGAAATCTGATGGCCACAGGCCCACCCTGAGCCGCTGTGCTAAGAATCAAGTCCACAACTCCACTCCGTGTCACATGCGTAGAATCCTATCACCTGGAGGGAAAGGAAGGGAATCAGGAAACCTGAGCTTTCTGCATGTAACCTGTTGACATATCGCGTCATGATGTGTGCGACTATCATAATTTGTCCTGTTCTCCGCCGTTTTGCTGTGACTTTGTGTGCAGAGGAGTTCTTAAAGCTCAGTAAACTGGTCGCAAATGACACACGAAGTATCAAAGGCCTTGCTGCTGATGCGCCTACAGTTCGTTTAGCGACTCCTCTGCATCTGCTGTTTGTGTAGCCATTCCTTCGCACCCGCCATTTGTTAAGTGCGTCCTTTCTCCCATATCAATCATGCTCTTAGATGCATCTGTCCGATTTGGGTTGTTGACGAATTGGTTCTCTCTCGCATCAAGTGGCCCTTGAACGCCCTGTTCTTTCCTTGACGATGAGATCACCCCAAACACCCTGCAGCTTTAGAAAGTCAGCGTAGTTTGAAAGTCCCAGACATTTGACAATTGAGGAGTTTGTATATCGTGTTCCCTTGTTGTTTATGTAGCATGCTGAGTATGGTGCAATTTTTCTAGTGTGGTGTGTACACTGTAGTGTGTCGCGTAGTCTGGTCTTGTGTAGTGTAGTGTGTAGTCCTAGTGTAGTGGTGTCGTGTAGTTTAGTGTAGTGTAGTGTGTGGTCTTAGGGCATCTTGACACCAGCACTTTTCTAGATATATGTGACAGCAATTACAGCTGGACCTGAATGCATCTGACTGTGATCGTGTCCAGAGCTGAGTCGAAAAAGTCGTAGTGTGGCTATGCCCTTAGTGTGATGTGTAGCTCAGAACACTGTGGCTTAACTGCTTTGGTCAGGTCATAAACAAAATCTTGAAGCTCTTCTATGGGCACTGTATTCGGCAACAAGGAGACCATCAGCTGAAGGAGGGTGGTTCGCAGGCATTGGGACTGTCATCATTCAACGGTGGAGTGTTGTGACAGAGTTGTGACAGTTCCAAACATTCCTGGATTGATGAGGTCGTTCTCTCCTTCTCTCTCTTTCTCGCTCTTTCTCTCTCTTTCTCTTCTCTCTCTCTCTCTCTCTCTCTCTCTCTCTCTCTCTCTCTCTCTCTCTTTTTCTCTCTCTCTCTACCGTGGTCCTTCTCGTCCTGGCTTTAGCACTCGCTGCCTCCTTGGTATGTAACATAGTGTAGCTCAGAAATGGAGAACACGGAGGACACGGAGGACACGGAGGACACGGAGGACACGGAGGAGACGGAGGAGACGGAGGAGAGGGAGGACATGGAGGGGGACGGAGGAGACGGAGGAGACGGAGGAGACAGAGGAGACGGAGGACACGGAGGCGGAGCTTGGGGGAGACGAGGGAGAGGAGCTCATAGGTTTCAATATGAGTTGAAGTTGCACGAAGTCACTAGGAGAAGGCAGGAATAACAGTTGATTACTTGGGTGTATTACTGCCGGTGGCCATTCTTTTGTTTTTGCTTTTTGTTTTTGCTTTTTGTTTTTGTTTTTTGTTTTGCTTTTTGTTTTTGTTTTTCGTTTTTGCTTTTTTTTTTTTTTTTTTTTTTTTTGGGTGGCTCTTGCTACTTTCTACCTAACTCTGCAACATGAATGTGGTATGAAGAAACCAGACATATTTCAGTCATAGACACAGCCCGGTATAACAGGCGGTAGTAATGGTGTCAGCAGGAGGCAAGTGAGTACAGGATTGAACTTCTAGGTTTTGGGACCAACCAAGAGGGGATGAGGTTGGGAGCTTTCTAAGTGAGCCAGTGCCCCCCATCCTTCCGTTGTTTGTTTGTTTGTTTGTTTGTTTGTTTGTTTGTTTGTTTGCTTTGTGTGTGTGTGTGTGTGTGTGTGTGTGTGTGTGTGTGTGTGTGTGTGTGTGTGTGAGAGAGAGAGAGAGAGAGAGAGAGAGAGAGAGAGAGAGAGAGAGAGAGAGAGAGAGAGGTGTGTGTGAGACAGAGAGAGAGAGAGAACGAGGACAATGTTAGTGAGGGAAGAATCAGAGAGTCGTGTGATGGAGTCAGGGATGATGGAGTGTTTTATTTTTTCCCATTAGAGACAGAGACATGGTGTGCTTGAGAAATCTGGCGTGTCCTGCATCCTCTGTGCTTAGTAGTATGGATCTGGGCATACATTTTGATACAGTGCATGCAGATTCAGAATGGATCTGGGCATACACCTGCGGGTCTTCTCAGACATAGCTCTCGATTTCCGCGCACAAGCATGGAGCGGGAGCAAGGTGAGCACAGCATTTTTTGAAATTTTCCCTTCTGTTGAAGCTTTGTAATTTGACCTTTGTCAGACTCAGGATTGTTAACCTCACAGGTCAGGTCGGTTTCCTCCTCCTCTATTGGTAGATGAGGATGAGCTCGCCGACGGTAAAGACTGGAGGGTGTCTCTGACTCTCTGTGCTAAGCAAGATGAGCTCGTAATCTTCATTGGTATCCATAACATCTGTTTCTATGCAATGCAAGTGATCAAAGGTTTTAAGTTTTAACTTATAATCCAAGGCAAGATGAATCAGACAGCAGTTTGATTGCTACGATGAGTCGATGACACAATGGCTCTGATGTACTGTGCGCACAGACTCAGACTTGGACTCAGGCGGGCCCACAACACACGGTAGTGGTAGATCACATACATACATACTTAGAAATCACAGCAATCACAGGAGAACAGACCCAGACTCGGAAAGCAGATTAAAAAAAGGCAACCTTTCTTCAGAAATCGGCGAAATCTCAGACAGCGATTTGTTAGGGTCATAGCGTCGTCACTGTGTTTTTGTTTGTTCTTTCTTTTTTGTTAAAGAAGAAAGCAGGACCTCGCCACGGTTTCGGGACGGTACGGTGGGTCGACGTCGGGGCTGCGGTGCCAAGGCGGGGACGGCACCGTTTCGACGGTGAGGCGGTAGCGGGGCGGCTCGGCATGGTGGACGTCGGGGTTGTGAGGCCGGCGCGCCCCCGCGTCGGCAGGAGGTAGCGCGAAGGAGGGGAGGGTGGGAGTACGATGACCGAGTCGTGCGCAGTGGGAACGACGGGGGAGAGAGAGAGAGAGAGAGAGAGAGAGAGAGAGAGAGAGAGAGAGAGAGAGAG